GTTCTAACAAAACAGATGTTTCTTTTCTAATTGAGATGATGAATATATATATATTTATTTTTTTTTTGTGGGCAGTGTAAAATTAAGAGATAATCTTTTTTCACTAATTAGCTGGTTGGAGTTTACAAATGATCTAATACTTCTTTTTCATTAGTAAGACCACTTTCTTTTTTTCCTTAAATACTTTTATTTTTAAACTTTGGCATATCTGAAATGTCCCTTTTCAATCTTTGCTTAAAAATTTTAGTAGAGTGCTTAGAGCTTCAGATGGACACTGAGAGTGGAGCTGTGCAAGTCCAGGTTTCTCTGCTCTTTCAATATTCTGTGCATTGCTCCAAAAATTTCTTGTCTATCTTCTGGGATTACCACATTGCTGTAGCCAATAATTAATAGAATTAACACAAACTTGTAGTATTATTATAGATATTTAAAGATCCAGAATCGTGCCCAAAATGGACATACTACCTGGGTTGAAGGCCAAGAAAGCTCATCTGACCATTGTGTAATTAGTTATAAGTGATACAGTGAAATGCTATGTGGTGTGAAACCAAAAGGGATCACGGGGAAGTTGCACAAATCCTCTTTCCTTCCTTGATTCCAAGCTGGATAATTATTGTTGTATCCCTTCTTTATTAAACAGCAGGCTGTGATTCAAGTCTCCAAACCAGAGATATTGGTAGCTGAATTCCCTCAAGGGAGATAAATGTCGTTATTGTCCTGAAGCAATCACCTAAAATCAGAATTCAGTATCCAGAGAGCGTGGGGTGAATTGCTGCTGCCCAGCTCCCTGCACCCGGATCCCGAGGCTCTCCTATTGCTCCTCTTGCAATGCACAGCGAAGCTCCTCTGGAACATCCCCATCCCCTCCCAGCAGCAGAGCAGGTCCCACGCTGGTGGCTTTGAGAAACCCCACTTTTGCTTTGTGACATGCTCAGTTTTGTATCGGCTCAGTGAAAGCAGTGGTGGTGTGATTTTAGCGTGCCTTTGGGGATGCAGGGTGTATTGCCAGCAATTGGCATTGGTCCAACATCCCTGGAAACATGCAGGTTTTCTTCTCCTCCAGTTCAGCCAGTGCCCATGGGTTTTGAATGCAGCAGCAGTTGCTGTGGCTGTGCAGATGGTCTCAGAGACCCTTCAGTGACATTTCCCACTCCACCATCACCTCTGCTCTCCTCCCAGCAACAGGGAAAGCCAAAACCCTTAAGGCTTTGCATCTCTTAAGCTTTCTCTCTCCATTTCACAGAATCACAGAATTGCCCAGATTGGAAAAGACCTTTAAGATCATCGAATCCAATCATGAACCCAACACTGACAAGTCCCCGACTAACCCATGTCCCTCAGCACTATGTCTACACGACTCTTCAGTCCCTCCAGGGATGGGGACTCCACCACTGCCCTGGGCAACCCCTTCCAATGCCTGAGAACCCTTTCAGCAAAGAAATTCTTCCTCACATCCAATCTCAACTGCCCTTGGTACAACTTGAGCCCATTTCCTCTTGTCCTGTCACTTGTTCCTTGGTTGAACAGACTGACCCCCACCTCTCTACACCCTCCTTTCAGGTAGTTGTAGAGAGAGATTTCACAGCTGAAGGAGGGACGTTGACAAATGTGGGCAGTCTTGGCAGATCTCCATGCCCAGAGCTGACAGAGCTGTGGTCAAGAATAGCTCCAAGCTCTCTCCTGATCAGTTATATGGCAGAGGTTTCCCATTGCCCTGTTACTAAAGAGGCATGCTGGGCAGATGTTAGTGCAGGGCCAGCAACCCCTCTGGGGCTGGGGAGAGCTGGGGTGCACGCAGGGTCCCCAGCCTAGCCCCGAGCGCTATACCTGGGCAGGTGTCTCTCCTGGTGCCTTGAGCTGACTGTGAGCATCAGTCATTGCAAGGGCTCGCAGCAAGATCTGCCTTTCTCCTGCTGTAGCCAATACACAACCAGCTGTGAGCCAGCGGTGCTGTCCCTGTGCAGGGGGCACCGAGGGGGCTGGTGGTGGGCGGCTGCTGCTGATTTGAACTGCTGCACCATGAACTGGGAGGTCTGAGCACAGATTCTGCCCTGTGCAGTTTTGGGTTCATCCTCTACAGTTTCTTTGGCTCAAATCTTGCTTGAAGGAACTGCACACACCTAATGCTTCCTTTAACCTTAGCCTTGGGGTGACATCTCTCTGGTTTGCTGAATTAGCCTTGTGTAGGAGGCAGAGCAGATTGCTGTAAGCAGGGGTGAAGCAGCACACGAAGGGTGTTGGTGGCCCTGCTGGGCTCTGCGCAGCAGTACCTACTCCCTCTTGCTTTGGTCTGGTGCCCTTCTCTCCCAGGTGCTTTTCCTCCTTTCTTGCACCTATTTACCCAAACTCAGATTTCAAAGCTCCTCAAAATCAGCCATGTATCTCCTGGCCCGTGGGAATCGATGTTCCTGCCCCGCGCAGCCCAGGGATGCATGCGAGAGGCGGCTGGGCTGAGATGCTGTTATACTGAATCCTCTTCCTCACTAATTTGTTATTAAATTATGGTTAGTGTTTCATTGAAGCCCCAGTAGGCATAAGTTCATTAGTGTTTTACTGGCTAGAGCTGCACTTTGTTGCATGGGTAATGTATCCCAAAAAGCATCTGTGGTTGTTGGAGTGATTGTGCTAACGAGCTCTGGTTGGGGCAAGAGTTCTCTAAGCGCGTGGCTCGGACTTGTAAAGGAGCTTGGCTCTCGCCTCAGCGTCAGGATAAAGGCCTGGATTTATGCAGAGGCTTAACAAATCTGGCTGGTCAGCCCTTCTGAGAATTCAACTTCTTTGATCCCATCAGTTCTGGCTGGAGTTTTGCCGTGAGCCATCAGCACAAGGGGACTTTGGCTTTGGTATGGCAGAGGGAAACCAGCTTTCCCCATGGTGCTCCCCTCTGCCAGGCTTGGGGCAAGCATGGGCAGAATCCCCTGCCTGCAGCCAGGGATCACAGGAGCCTCTCCAAGGAGCTCTGCGTTGATTCTCTCCTTGTAACATATGCCGGGGCTGGGTAGCATCTTTGCTGAAATGTCCTGGCCTGTCTTCACTGCTGTCCTGGGGCTGTTACTCACCCAAAAACCGGGATAAAAATAGTCTCTCTAACCCTGAGATATTTTTCAGGGTTGCTATCTCTTCCAAGCCCACTTTAATTAGCACTTGAGGTGGCCCAGAATAGAAACCCCACAGCTCCAGCAGCTCAGAAATGCAACTTGATATTTATAATCAGTGATCGTTAGGACCAATAAATCAGGTTGCAGCTCCGGAAGGTGCTGTGCAGTCGCTCTGGGTGTTGTGAAGAGCATCCAGCTCAGCCCATGGCCCCTGGAAAAAACGCACGCAGAGCTTCAGAAGGTGCTGGGTTAATTACTCCAAGGTAGCCAGGCTGGAGCTCAGCTTTTCAAGGCTAAATCAAGCTATTTCTTTAGTGTTAGTTCCCAGCCACACTGTGGGGATCTCGGTACTGGGCAAGGCACAGAGAGGGGGCTCTTGGATGCAATTTCATCTCTGCTTGTAACAATGGGGAAGGGGAATGTGAGAGATGAGACTTGGAAACCCACCCAGGTGGGCTTTCTGGTGAGGGACTGTGGTGGGACCCTTCTGCATGAGGAGTAAGCCCTGCAAGCAGCATGTGGGTATGTGCTGGGGATTTTCGGGCTGGCTTGTAGCCATGGTGGGAGCCTGAGCTCTGCTTTCTCCAGCCCATCACCATGGCTTCAGCCCTGGAGCAGGTGGGCTTGCACAGCTTGCCTGGTCTGTGCATTGAGGAGATCAGAGCTGCGTTCCCCCCCAGCTGTTTTCTGAGTCATCTGTATCTCCAATCCCCGTCGATGACTTTAAAATGGCTTTGAGGAATTGTATTCTCAGGTCTTTTTATCATTCGATCATAGGACAGGGCCAGCAGCTTTTCCTGCCTGCTGGCTCTGGCTGCCAAAGTTAATACATCACGCAATGCAATGCTGGAAATGTCATACGGAGGCTTGGCACGGACCAGAGGCAGAGCTTTGCATCGGGGCGCCTGCCCCGTGCTCCCTCTGCAGAGACACTGCCGAAATAATGAGAGGATTAATTAAATTCCTCATCCTCAGGCATGCAGGGCTGGATGTGGGGCTTTTCTGCTGCTGGGCAAGTGCGGAGGGTCTGTCCCCAGGGCTGTGCACAGCACCCCTGCCTGTGGGACCAGCACACTGGGTCCCTGACGTGGGTGCACCCATGGTAGACTGGTTATGGGACTCTCCAGAAGTCCCACAGCAGGAGGTTGCTCAGCCTAAATGTCTTACTTAGCCTGTTCCCTGCCAGCCCTCTCCCCGCTTGCAAGACTCTAAATGCAAAAGTCGCTGGATCTTGGGAATCTCATTCTCTCCCAGGGGCTGGGCCAGAGCTTTGTGTTTAGTCACTGATCTTTAAAAGTTCCTGTTGGGTATTTTTCCTGTCCAGTGACTTCTAATTGAAGTGGGTAATTGCATTATCGCATCTCCCCTGGAGAGGTTCACAGAGTCTCAGCAATCATGTTCAGTGTTATACCGAGGTCCTAAAAACCCCACTCAAAATGAGGTTTCTCTCACCAGAGCTCAGCAATGGCCACAAGTCAACAGGGCAAACCCGGCCAGGCTGCAGAGCCTGAGGTCTGGCAGGGCTGGGAGGTGATGGTCCCTCTCTAGAGAGGTACAGCCTTCATAGGGGCAGAGCAGGTGCCTTTGAAACACCAGTTAACATTCCCAGCAGCATCCTGGGCTGAGCAAAGCGTTATCCCCATCCAGTGGCTGTATTGCTTTGAGGTGTGCCCCTCCAGATCCTGGGCATGGGGGCATTGTGAGGCAGAAAGCCCCCCTGTCCTGTCCTAGCATGGCTGCACAGGCTGATGTGGAGATGTGCCTGCATTTGGGGAGGCACCGGGGGTCAGGGAAATCTTTCCTTGCCCCTCTTGCCTCTTCCCATCGGAGCCCCTTCAGCCCTCCCTGGGCTTTTCCTGGCACAGGAAAGCTAATTCAGGTGTTTTCTTCTGTCCCCTGCAGTATGAGTTTAAAGCCAAGAACATCAAGAAGAAGAAAGTGAGCCTCATCGTGTCAGTGGATGGCGTGAAGGTCATTCTGAAGAAGAAGAAGAAGGTAGGCAGCCCCAGTCCCTGTGGCAGTGGGAGCCCTCCCCTCGTGGTGCAGGGACCTGCAGGGTTCTTGAATTTCGGAGGAGCTCTGGTGGGCTGGGAGGTCTGGGATCAGCCATGGATGAGCTGTGTTCCTGCAGCATGACAGAGCCAGTCCTGATGCGGGCGTAGAAGGGGCTGGGGGGTGGTGTGGGACAACACCGGCCCCAGCAGGATCTGGCCTTTGGCAAAGGGTTGCAGGGGAGCTGTGACCAGTGCTTCCCAGGTCTGTCCCTGGACTGTGTCTGCCCTGTGGGCTGGGAGGTCTGGGATCAGCCATGGATGAGCTGTGTTCCTGCAGCATGACAGAGCCAGTCCTGATGCGGGCGTAGAAGGGGCTGGGGGGTGGTGTGGGACAACACCGGCCCCAGCAGGATCTGGCCTTTGGCAAAGGGTTGCAGGGGAGCTGTGACCAGTGCTTCCCAGGTCTGTCCCTGGACTGTGTCTGCCCTGTTCTTGATCTCAAGGGCAGCATCTGACGTACTCATTTTCAGCTTCTTTTGTTGCAGAAAAAAGAGTGGGCCTGGGACGAGAACAAAATGCTCGTCATGCACGATCCCATCTACAGGTAAACCTGCCCGCTGAAGGGACAGAGGCTGG